TTTTTGTTTTTAAATCCAAGCTATTGTGATGCAGGATCTAATTAGTGGCACTTGTCAGCGTATCCACTGTTAGCGTAACACACCCGCTTTAAGGACACTGACTGCTATTCAATCTATAACAGTAAAAAAAGTTTTTTGTTTTTAAATCCAAGCTATTGTGACACCAGATATAAGTGGTGGCACTGGGCACCGTATCCACTGTTAGCGTAACACACCCGCTTTAAGTACACTGACTGCTATTCAATCTATAACAGTGAAAAAAGTTTTTGTTTTTAAATCCAAGCTATTCTGACACCAGATATAAGTGGTGGCACTGGTCACCGTATCCACTGTTAGCGTAACACACCCGCTTTAAGGACACTGACTGCTACTCAATCTGTAACAGTGAAAAAAGTGTTGTTTTTTTTTTAAATCCAAGCTATTGTGACACCAGATATAAGTGGTGGCACTGGTCACCCTATCCACTGTTAGCGTAACACACCTGCTTGAAGATAACTAACTGCTATTCAATCTATAACAGTGAAAAAAGTGTTTTGTTTTTTTAAATCCAAGCTTTGTGTCACCAGATCTAATTGGTGGCACTGGTCACCTTATCCACTGTTAGCGTAACACACCCGCTTTAAGGACACTGACTGCTATTCAATCTATAACAGTGAAAAAAGATTATTTTTTTTTTAAATCCAAGCTATTGTGACACCAGATCTTATTAGTGGCACTGGTCAGCGTATCCACTGTTAGCGTAACACACCGGCTTTAAGGACACTGACTGCTATTCAATCTATAACAGTGAAAAAGTTTTTTGTTTTTAAATCCAAGCTTTGTGTCACCAGATATAAGTGGTGGCACTGGTCACCGTATCCACTGTTAGCGTAACACACCCGCTTTAAGGACACTGACTGCTATTCAATCTATAACAGTGAAAAAAGTTTTTTGTTTTTAAATCCAAGCTATTGTGACACCAGATGTAAGTGGTGGCACTGACTGGGGAAATGGGCACAGTATGCACTGTGAGCCTGACACAGAAGCTGGCAGCAGTGGCAGACAACTGACTGCTATTCAATCTATAACAGTGAAAAAAGTTTTTTGTTTTTAAATCCAAGCTATTGTGACACCAAATGTAAGTGGTGGCACTGACTGGGGAAATGGGCACAGTATGCACTGTGAGCCTGACACAGAAGCTGGCAGCAGTGGCAGACAACTAACTGCAATTACATTACATGGAAAAAAAAAGCATACCCTAACCCTAACCTAGCTATGCATTTCCCTATCTAATGAACAGCAGCTACACTTTCCCTCCTCTCACTAAGCATGCAGCTTGGGAATGAATGTAAAATGGATGCCTTCCAGTAGGTGGGAGGGTCTGCTAGGGAGGGTGTGCTGCTAATTGGCTGGAATGTGTCTGCTGACTGTGAGGTACAGGGTCAAAGTTTACTCAATGATGACGAATAGGGGGCGGGTCGAACCGCGCATATGTTCGCCCGCCGTGGCGAACGCGAACATGCTATGTTCGCCGGGAACCGTTCACCAGCGAACCGTTCGGTACATCACTACTCAGGATACTTTCTGGGGCTCCCTTCACCACAGCCTTCCTCAGACTGTGCACTG